GGATTCTAAAGTCACCAAATTCACCAAATTTCAGATTAATGGTTATTTCTCTGTAATTCTTCCTGACTTCAAACTTGGCCTCTGGTGCTAGAAAACTACTGGGTCATGTCTTATTTTTCTGATCATTTCCCTCGTGTGGAAGAATCCTTTCCATCCTCCCATTCCTTACTCGTGGGCATTTCCTATATTCAATCTCCAGCTCTTTTCTGTACTATCTCTTGGAGAACACATCCAGTTTCATACCTCCCACTCCTAAATTCATACCCCAGTCCTGAATTCTCCTTGAGCCTACAGTCCCATATGGGTAAGTAATTGTTGGATTTCTTCTCCTGCATATCTCACCAGAAAATCAAAACTGTCTTATTTTCCTTAACATACAGAATGCTTTGGGGACACCTGGGTGGCTCAGTTGGTTGAGTGTCCAACTCTTGATTTCAGCTCAGGTCGTGATCTCGAGTCCCGGGATCGAGCCCTGCACTGGGCTCTGTGCTCAGCTCTGAGTCTTCTTGGCCCTCTCCCTCTGCTTCTCCCCTGGCTCCTGCTCTTGCTCTTTCTCTCTCTCAAATAAATAAATAAAAGTCTTTAAAAAAACATGCTTTTACAAATCCAGAAGACAGAGACAAGCACCAATTTAAAAAAATGGGCAAGGACATGAATAGGCAACTCACATATATGTGTACCTTATACACAATGCATGTATAGAGTTGAACCATAAAAAGAACGTTCACCTTCACTAATACAAGCAGCTAAACGTTGTGATGCCGTTTTTCAATGATCCTTTCACAGTGGTTTAAAAGCCTCAGAAACTTAGTGTTGGTCTAAGTATAGGTAAACAGACCCTCTTCTGTATTGGTGGTGGAAATAGACGTTTGTACTATTTCTCTATTGAATGATTTCGCAATATGTACCAAAGTCTTTCAAATGTGTGTGCCCTTGGACCCAGTGGGCTTCAATTCTAGGAATTTAACTTAAGACAATAATCAAAGATCTATGCAAACCTGTAAGAACAAGAATTATTGTTTCTATTGTTTAAAACTTGGAATCATGTGGAATGTCTAGCAGTGGAAGATTAGTTCTGTAGAATGCTATGTGGCCAGTACAAATAATGTTTTAGAAGTATGCTTAATTTCTCAAGAAAACATCCACACTCTGTTAAGCATCAGGCTACAAAAAGGAATATATAGAATTATCCCTATTTTGTAAGAAACAAAAGGTATACGAACTGGAGGGAAACACACATGAATGTTATGAGTGTTTGTTGTTTTCTCCTTTATCATTTTCCCTGTGTTGTAAAATTTCTACAGTGAACCCTGCTTGCTTTTTAGAAAATAAAAACTCCCATAAATGTAATGTTTCCTAATAGCTTATTTAAAACCAGAATCCTGGGGCACCTGGGTGGCTCAGTGGGTTAAAGCCTCTGCCTTCGGCTCGGGTCATGATCTCAGGGTACTGGGATCGAGCCCCACATCGAGGGTCTCTGCTCCACAGGGAGCCTGCTTCCTCCTCTCTCTCTTTGCCTGCCTCTCTGCCTACTTGTGATCTCTGTCTGTTAAATAAATAAATAAAATCTTTAAAAAAAATAAAACCAGAATCCTCCATTTCCCCCACTAAACAAGCACCCTTTCCTGGCTTCTCTCTTTTCTGCCCATGGTGCCACCAATCCAAGCTCGCAGGCTCAGAACATTGTGATTGCCCTGCCCTTCACTCCCACTTACCCGATCACTGATGGAGCGATCACCCTTCTTGAGGACATGTCTCAAGTCTGTTCCTCCCTCCTGAGTCCCAAGTCAGAGCAGCTCAGTTCAACCAGCATTTATTGGCACCGTGCCTGGATGTCACTCTGCCAGGATCATGTTAGTGGAGTCATCTGTCTTCCTGCTTCAGCTCTCTCTCTCCTCCAGTCAATCAAACGTCCTGCAGCTGGAATGATCTTTGTACAAAAAATGCCACTTGTACCATGCTCAAAAACACTCAAAGGGCCTCCGAATGCCGTTGCCTATGGAATAAAGCCCATACTCTTTCCTCTGCTATTTAAGGCTCTTTGCAGCACTATGCTAGGTGGGAGGTAACAGTGGCAAGGGGAGGGGGGCACATGGGAGGTTCTTGGTGAGTTGTTGACAATGTAGGAAATCTTTAAGAATAAGGTGTGGAAGGGCGTCTGGGTGGCTCAGTCCGTTAAGCATCAACTCTTGATTTCGGCTCAGGTCACCATCTCAAGGTGGTGAGATGGAGCCCCGTGTCTGGATCTCTGCTCCGCACTGGGCGTGGAGCCTGCTTAAGATTCTCTCTCTCCCTCTCTGTCTCTTAAAAAAAAAAAAAAAATTCTCTCCTTCTGTCCCTCCCCCTGCCCCTCCCTCTCTTTTTCAAAAGATTTAGCTGTTCATTTAATTTAGAGAGAGAAAGAAAGTGCTGGGGGTGGTGCAGAGGGAGAGGGAGAGAGGAACCCAAGGAGACTCTGCACCTAGCGTGGAGCCTGACCCAGGCTCCATCCCATGACTCCATCCCATGACTTCACCTGAGCTGAAACCAAGAGTCTAACGCTCAACCCACTGAGCCACGCAGGCACCCATCTCTCCCTCTCTTAATTAAAAAAAAAAAAAAGTAGGAAGAAGAGGAGGGGCACCTGGGTGGCTCAATCTGTTAAGCATCTGTCTTTGGCTCAGGTCCCAGGGTCCTGGGATCAAACCCCATGATGGGCTCCCTGCTCTGTGGGCAGTCTGCTTTTCCCTCTGCTGCTCCCCCCTGCTGGGCTCTCTCTCTTCCTGTCAATAAATAAATAAAATCTTAGGGACACCTGGGCGGCTCGGGGGGTTAAGCCTCTGCCTTCAGCTCAGGTCATGATCTCAGGGTCCTGGGATCGAGCCCCGCATCAGGCTCTCTGCTCAGTGGGGAGCCTGCTTCCCCCACCCCCCTCTGCCTGCCTCTCTGCCTACTTGTGATCTCTGTCAAAAAATAAATAAAATATTTTAAATAAATAAGTAAATAAATAAAATCTTGAAAAGAAAAGGAGTAGCTTTCTTCCCACGTCTCCACTATGTTCAGTTTGAAAATTCTCTTTCCTTTTGGCGCTTGGACCAGAGGCCAGAGTTTCATGGTGCTGAATTTGGAGACAGGAAGAGGCAGCCAGGGCCGATAAAATATGGCTCAGGAAACCTCAGCTCCAAGTGTGTCCCAATTTCCGATGCCTGCTATGTAGGAGGACCCGTGGAGAAAGCCTACTTTGGCTCTTAAGTCTCTGTCTCCCCTGCCATGTTAAGGACCAAGAACAACCGGTGGGAAACTTGGATCTTTGTTTTTTTGCTCTAAGAAAAAGGAGGAGGAAGGGGTGAGGGGAAGCAGAAAGGGGTGCATGTAGAACCAGCCTCCAGGGGCCGTGGCCCACGCAGGAAACCCAGCTGTTCTCAGGTGCCCCTCTGGGGCCTGGCAGACGCCAGCTCAGACTGAACTTTGGCATATGGTTGTGTGTCAGGAATACTCCGCTGGGAGTGTGTGGGGGAAGACATGTGAGCATAACGAACTTTCCAGATGGCAGTCCCAGCCCTAGCCCTGTCTCTCGCTCTTGGAAGACCCGATGGCATGACTGGGTGAAGGGGCTACTTGGGCCGCCATTCTGGCAACAGCAGCTGCGGAGGGGCTCAGCCCATCCCTCTCCAGGAGCAAATGCGCACTTAGGGACCTAGCCTGAAAGCAGGTGCAGGCAGCAGAAAATGCTGCTGGTTAACACAGCCTGGGATGCTAAGGCGGGCCTCCTGACATGGACCAGGCCCTTCTTGGCTTGCTCTGGGTCCCTTTCTGGTTCCTTGAAATCTTGGTAGAGTTCCCACCCACCAGAAACTCCCAACTCCTTACATAGCCCGCTGGTGGTTCCTGTCTAGCTGCTTCGGACTGCCCTTCTCTCTTCCCCTGGGGCCGTTGGCAGTTAGCACTTTTCTTGAGTACACACAGGCCTCTTTTTCCTTCCCCCTGGCTCCTTGGAAGCCTGCCCCAGTTTGAGGCTCTCCCTGCTTTACAAAACCACTAACAGTTAGAAGCGCTGGGACTAACAGGTGAAGCAAGGGCCCTCTGCTTCCCAGGGCTGAGAATGGCTTGGCTGACCTTGGAGACCAGGGAACCGGGTGGGGGCAAGCACGGAGGCAGCTCTCTCAAGCTGGCGGGGGTGGGGGGGTTTCCCAAGTGTCCCATGGCATCACGTGTTACTTGGGGACTCTGCGGAGAGAGGTAACCTCCCCGAGCCCTAGCAGGAGCAGCTTCTGTCGATGGGAGGCTCCCCACATCCCAGGCACCGCGCCCAGCGCCTAATGGACCGGTTGCCCGTGGGGTCCTCACCCCAGCCCTATGAGCTAGTCACTACTTGTCCCTGACTTGACAGATGGGCAAACTCAGAGGACTTAAGTAACTTGTCCGAGGTCAGAAGGTGAAGGGGGTGGGACTCTCACTGAGTCTCATTTCCAAGCCTAGTCTCTTGCCCCTTAAACTGCGCCCCCATTGTGTTTGCCCCCCATGGCCTGGAGAGAGGAGGAATTGCTTTTTGAAGTCCTTTTGTAATATTTACCGGACGCTTAGGCACGGACCAGGCCTTGTGCGAAGCTCCTTTGAGTCCCCCGACCACTGGACAGACGTGCAAGGAACCAGAGTCACAGGGAGATGACCTGGCTTTTCAGTGGTGGCGTGGAGCATAACCCCATGACCGTGAACCTCATCCCCTGACCCCGCCCTCCCCTGCTGTCCCAGAAGCCACCTGGGCAGTTCGCTGTGCGTGGACCCATGGTGACCTTCACCGTGGAGCCCACAGAGGCCTGCACTTGAGAAGCCATGACTTCTAAGCCAGTGGCCATTCTGCTTTGGGGCAGGGAGGAGCTAAGGGAAGATGGGGACCCACCCAGCTTGCGTTTGGGGGACTACTTCCTCGCTTGTGGGTCATTTGCATGAGAAGGGAGAACCCAGATTGCTTTTAAGCACATTTTCATTTTCTCCCCTCTCCGCCTCCCCTCCCAAATTAGGGTGAAGGTTGCCGCACGGTCCCCCTGGCTGGACACGTGGGGTTTGACAGCTTGCCCGACCAGCTGGTGAATAAGTCCGTCAGCGAGGGCTTCTGCTTCAACATCCTGTGCGTGGGTGAGTATTTCCACAGCAGGAAATGCTATTACAGAATATGGATCCTTTAATGGCTGCATGTGGCTTGGCAGGTAATTAGGTTAAATACAGTGTCATTCCGGTCCATTTGCAAAAATGTCTTCCTCCTTCTTCCTCTTTAATCCCTCTGTTTGCCTTTGTGAGCAGCCAGCCCTGATGATATTTTTCCCCGCTCAGACCAGAACACCAGGCCGGACCTTGCAGGGAAACTGAGCCGTGTGACATCCAGTGGAAATTTTTGTAAGGGAGCTGGCTGGCTCAGCTACCGTGGTCAAGTTCACTTGGACTGCAGGAAATAGGAGCCAGGGCAGGACTAGGAGGGAGGCTGATGGCTGTGGTAGGATGCCTGCCAATCGGCTGTGGGCAGCGGGGTGAGGCTCTTTCCTCTGCAGCCCTGTGGTGCTCCATACAGTCTGAGCTCAAGGCGAAAGTTCTTTTCTTCCCTTTGAGCATATCTCCACTCAGGGATGCCTGGGTGGCTCAGTCGGTTAAGCTTCTGCCTTGGACTCAGGTCATGACCTCAGGGTCGGGGGACTACAATCCGGCTCCCTGCTCAGCAGGGAACCTGCTTCTCCCTCATCCTCTGCCTGCCGCTCCCCCTGCTTGTGCTCGCTCTCTCTCTCTCTCTCTCTCTCTGACCACTAAATAAATAAATGAGAATCTTAAAAAAATATATATCTCCACGTGGACCCTTAGTCTCAAATGTGGGAGCCAGGCGTTCATCACCTCTCATGGGCTAATCACAGCGCCAAGAGAGTTCAGTAATGTTTGTGAAATGAATGAATGAGTTGACCCCCACAGGCACCATTTGTTCTATTTCTCAAACACTTGGCGTAGTAGCAATTTGAGTCCTTCCTAGGACGCTGTGGTGTGAGCAGAGTGAGTACCATTTGTATCTTCACGGAGCAGATGGAGACCCAGACATCTGGGGAGGATAAGAGACTTGACCGGGGCAAGGCAGAGTAGGTGGGGGAGCGCGGACAAGACCCGAGGTCTGGCTGTGACTCCTTTGACCTTCTCACGGCTTCTTTAACTGCTGCCAGCGACATCTCTTGAGAACGCAAAGGCGCTTCGAAAACGGTCAGGCACCGGCCACACAAACACGAGGAACAGCAGTTCCTTGACATTCTTAGGCTTTCCAAAGTCCCAAATTTGCAAACACGATGATAGCATACGATTTTCACTGTATTGAGCAGCAAAGTCTACCTGCACATGTTCAGCACCCTTCTTCCAAACCTTAATGACTGTAGAAATACTGTAATAGTCTGTTTGTCCGCTGGTTGGAACACTCAGACACTCTTGCTGATTGCCCTTTCTTAGTTTTCTAGAGAGTGTATGGAGAACTCATTCATGTTTAGGCTCCAAACCCCCGCTGAACTGGATATTTGACTCTTTTTAAAATTTTTTTATTTTTTTAATAATTTTTAAAAATGATTTTATTTATTTATTTGACAGAGGGAGATCACACGTAGGAAAAGAGGCAGGTGGGGGGTTGGGGGGGAAAGCAGGCTCCCTGCTGAGCAGAGAGCCCGATGCAGGACTCAGTCCCAGGACCCTGACACCATGACCCAAGCCGAAGGCAGAGGCTTTAACCCACTGAGCCACCCAGGCGCCCCGGATATTTTACTCTTTAATGTCATCTACAGTTCTATTTTCTAACTAGGGTCATTCATTTTCTTGGACTCTTTCTTTTTCTTTTCCTCCATCCTTAGAGCTCTCTTTGTTGTTTTTTTTTTTAAGATTTTATTTATTTGACAGAGAGAGAGTGGGAGAGAAAGAGGGCACAAGCAGGGAGAGCAGCAGAGGGAGATGGAGAAGCAGGCTCCTCACTGAGTGGGGGGGGCTCGATCTCAGGACCCTGACACCATGACCCGAGCCGAAGGCAGAGGCTTTAACCCACTGAGCCACCCAGGGGCCCCCTTAGTGCTCTTTCTCGATCATTTCCTGTAGGAGAATAACTGGGCACTCAGGGTACAAGTAGACAACAAGGAGGCCACTTCTTAGTATGGATGACAGGTAGTCAGCTAGGCTCGCTCACTGGCCAAATGACTGTCCCCCACACGTCAGCTTGGGAACTCAGGAGATGACAATATAGGCATCACAGAATTACATACCGTGGGCCTGGGCATCCAGAGCTAGGCCAGCAGTTCTTCAAGTGCTAGAAGTCTACTGCTCGTGGTTATGATGCGATGCTATTAGGAGAAGGACACAAAATAAACAGAAGCCACAGTGCTCAACGCCGAGGTGTCATCATGTCCAACATCGGCATTGCCAAACTGCTCTGATCTTTGGGCGTTGGCCAGCTTACTTCGTATAATATTTGATTACCGCAAAATTTCCGTGCAAAGATATTGGATTCCCTTGGCATCCCTCCCGGAGCTCCGTACAACCTGCACTGAAGCCGAGGAGCTCAGAAGTGACAGGACAGACCCACCCTCATCAACCTGTCAACGAGGGGCCGTCTGGCGGGTGACTGAGGCTCTAGGAGGGAGGTCGCAGAAATCGGAGTGGCCCTCTGAGGGCCGGAAGTGTAGTGCACTTGGACCGCCAGTCCGTGGGCTCCCTCAGGGCCCTGAAGAGGAGGCAGCCAAGCTCAAGGCAAACGAGTGGGAGGAAGAGTGAACCCCCGTCCTCGAGTTCCCGCCCAGGCGCGGGACAGCGGCAGCCACTCGGCGTGCCCCTGCTGGGGTAGAATGTTTCCACCGCCCCAGACCCTTCGAGAGGGGAGGAGCAGGAAGGAGATCCTCACCCCCAAGAGTCACCCCCTCTCTTTCTTGCGGCACCTGCCAGGTCCCAGGAAATCACCCTAGTAGGCCCCCTCTTGGCGCTGCAGAGGCGCCCTGTGGATGCCCCGGCCTGGACTGAGTTCCTTTCATTCCCCATCCCTGATGCAAATAAGCCGGCAGCCTGCACACCTCCTGCTCTCTGTTCTCACAACCCTGTCATTGCTCAGAGAACCCACAATTTGGGTCGAGGTCATGAGTGGTTTAGATGGGCTCTTAGGCTGCAATCTCAGCCCAGCCATGGGAACGGGTACTGTCACCGGCTTGGCCAGGGGTCTGTAGCTTGCCTGCGGGAGGTGACCTTTTCTCCCGCAGGACTTTCGGTGGCCTTGCCTTCAGGCCTACGGCTGGTGCATAACTATCAGGTTTACTCCTGTAATGACTGTTCTCAGGTAAGTCTGTTTGGGCCTAGCCTCTGTCCTCCCGAAGGATTTTCTCTTCTTTTCTGGAAGGACATGTTAAGGTCGAACTGATAGTAGCCGTAGCTTCAGTTATGAACAGAGACCTAGGACATTCGGATCACAGCATTGTTTATCTGGGTGCTGGGCTGCTGGCCGTAGGGGTCCAAGCCCAGCAGACTGAGTACCCTCTACGCTGACGGGAGTGTGTGCCCCTGAGCACAGGTGCGTGGTGGGACTGAGAGAGAGAAGTTTTGTGAATCCAGAGCCTAATTCATAGTAAGGCTACCAATAAATGGCACCCAATAGAGGGCCTGTTATGTCTCCTGTTATGACTTCTATAATTATTATTATTATGGAATAATTACTGAGTGGGCTGAGGTTGCCCTCTCCATCCCCAACCATCCCCCACCCCCGACAAAAAACATATACTAATCGCTTAGCTCTGGAACTGGCAAAGATCCCAGGAGCCTAGATCTAGTGCAGGAGGCCTCAGCCACCAGAGCCAGCAGGACGAATGTCCTGGGGCCTGTTGCTCTTTTCTGCCGGGAAGGAGCTCTGGAGGGACGCTGCTCTCCAAATGTACCAGCAACAGTGACGCCCATGAAGAGTGCAGAGAGTCATAATGATAATATTTACTCTGAAGCTGCTCAGGATTCCAGGCTCAACTGGGCCGTGTTGAACTTGGAATAAAACACACACGAGAAAGAGATCTGCAACAGGCAGGGCGAGCCTACTCCAGCACACCCCTCGGGGCCAGGCCTCAGCAAGGTCAGGAAGGAGAAGAGGGCAAGGTTACCGAGCCAGCTATGACCTTGTTCCTGTCGTTAGGCTCCCTAGAGTTCCTGGAGAGTTTCTTTTGGAATACCTCCTTGTTGAACCTGGGAGACGGCTCTCTTCGTTCGCAGCTGGCAGAGACCTCCGCTGCGGGGACCACGAGCTCCCTGCAAACAAGGACGGTGGCTATCCTGTGCACTGTTGTATCTTTCGTCCCTAAAATCATGCATGGCTCCGGTGAGAGGCCCCGTGAACATTTGTCGAGTGACAAATGAGCTGATGTTGCATGCCCGTGGGACACACTTGGGCGTATTGGTTATACGTCTTTGCTCCAGTGTCTGACTGGATTCAAGGCCTCCTCTGCCAGTGACTCCTTAGGGATCCTAGACCAGTTCCTTCCTCCCATTTTTTACAGATGAGAAAGGAGAGGAATGGAGAGACTGGGGAGTAGGGCAAATTCACATGGCTGGCAAGTGGCTTGGCTAACCCTTCCGTAACCAAAAGACAAATAGTAATATCTACTTCCTAGGTTCATTGTGGGGAACAAATAAGGAAAGTTTCGTGTCACAGCTGTGCCTGGTACGTAGAAATGCTCCAGAAGCCACCGCTATCATTATTAGTCCGAACCTGTTCGTTTTCTGGGGAATGCATCTGTCTGGGCAAAGGATGTGGATATTAGCGGCAGACAAGGAAAAAAGGGTGGATTATCCCAGGCAGTGTAGTTTGAAAAAGCGGATCTCATGTTACACGTTTCCAATGGAAATTCTTTGTTTAAAAAAACGGGTGTTTCCAGCATCCTCTCTCCATCAAGCAAAGTGAGATAGAGTCTTCTGGGCCAGTGATGACGACCTTAAAAGGGTTAAGAAATCCCGTTGTCTGTTGGAGGAGGGAGGAGAGAGAAATTGAACCCTGGGGACTCCCCGGGTTTTCTGTTGGAAACTGCCAAGTCCCCCACCTTCCTGCAGGGGTGTGGAGTCTGCTGACCTGACCCGATCCTCCTCCATGCTGGGTCCCCAGGGCAGCGTGGGAGGGGACCGCATCCTAGGCTCAGGCTGGGTCCGTGCCAACCACGAAGAGGGACCCCCACACCCTGCAGGCTCCACACTGATGGACCAGCTCGCTTGATTCTCTGTCCTCTTCTCGGGTTGCATTTATCACAATTCCCTGGACGCCTGCGGGTTCCTGTCTTCCACTCATCGTTGGGCATCCAATTTCCACAGCCCTTTTGTGCTGGCAGGCATTCGCGTGGTCATTTGCCCTGCTGCTCCCTCCCCTGCTGCACTGCCCTGCCCTGCCCTACCCTGTCTGGCGGCCCTCCATTCCTCCAGCTGTGCAAACAGCAGCTGCCTGAGCTGCCTCCGGGCACGGGCACGCCTGGGCTAAGCCCTCTGAGGAGCACGGAAGATGCCCCATTCCTGCTCTCTGAGGATCTTGGGATCAGGGGCCAGGGAGCCAGCTCTGGGTGCTGGGGGGACAGGGCCCAGCACTCTAGGAGCTGCGGGGAGCTTAGCCGAGAGCTCACAGAGCAGAAGGAGGTGGGGATGTCCCTGGAAAGTTCATCAGGCGCACACAAACATGGGCTCCAAGGGGCCCAGAGGGGAGGTGAGGGAGCCACCTGCTGTGTCAGCGGCTCTTGTCTCCTGCTCGAGGGAGCTACACCCCCACCTGGGGCGGGGAGAGGGGGTGATACATTCCATTGCTTGGCCAAATATGTCACCTCCCATGGCAAAGGCCCCACCTCACTCAATCTTTCTGGAGACCCAAATACTTCCTGTTCCTTTAGGGAGGGGGGGAAAAAGGGGGCCTCTTCTGGGAGAATCTTTGCCGCTAATAGGTATAGCAGACCTTGGCTGGAAACATGATCTGGGGGGACCATTTCCCTGCACCCTGGCAATCCACCACGGTAGTGAGGGATAGCTACGAAGCTGGGTTGGGGGGCTGGGGAGCCAGGCTGAGTTGAATGTTCTTCTTGTTCTCTCTCTCTCTCACCAGTCGCTACACACACAGAAAGCTCTCATCCGAGACAGATTTGAAAAAGCCCCCCCCCCCCATATTCATGGATCATCATTCAGGATGAAAGGCACGCAGGAGGCAAAGCTAGACACACCCAGAGGGTGGAAGGGGAGGGGGCCCTTTGCTTTACACGTTGTTGTGGTGCGGCTCTAACCCTAGCCCTGGAGAGCAGAAGAGCAGGGTGTTCCAGAAGAGGCAATCCCGGGTGATTAGCTACTGAACCCTTTATTCCTGGCATTCCTGACTCGCTGCGGTGGGGGGCAGGCTGGAAGCCCAAATACGGTTTGGATCTCTGAAGATGACAAACCTCTGTAGCGCCCAGCCCAGCTTGGGGCCTTCTGGCACATTCCTCCCCAACTCCCAGGCCACCAACTAACTCTCCTACAACGTCTTCTTTCCCTGAAGACCCCTTGGCTCCTGGCAGTGGCTTGACCTCCCTCAGGTCTCTCAGGAATGACCTCCAAAAAACTTTACCAGTGTCCGCGGGCTTTCCCCCCACTCCTCTCCCTGGGTGTGAAAGTCAAGACTTGAAATTCCAATGGTTTAGTTTATTAGTATCCCGCAGCCTGTTAGTTAAACAAACAAATGACTGGTTTGTTTGAAATTTAAGAAGAAGAATGTGTGGCCTGCTAATTTCCCTCCCTGTTAGCTAAAAATGGCCTCCCCACTGGGATACACATCCGGGCTTGTGCAGAGCGCAGTCTGGGCCCAGCAGGGTGGTGAGGTGGCGATGAAAATCAAAAACAGCCCTTTAATTTTTATCACAAAAGCTATGCATGTTCCACTCAGAAAACTTGGAAAATACACAGAAGCAGGAGGAGAGAAAGGAAAACCGCCCATCACCCCCACCATGCAGTGATAGCCGTCTTGCTAAGAGTGTATTGTGTGCCCTTCTGGACTTTTTCCAGGTATAACTGCTACCTCTCCATCACTGCCTGCAACAGAGTTCTTTTTCTGACGATAAAAGCCGTGCATCCGCAACCTTCAAATGACAGAAAAATAGGAAGACTAAAAGGAAAATTACCCAGGTTCCACTCTCCTGAGATGCTCCTGCTGATACGTTGATGCAGTTCCTCTCAGTGTCTTCCACTTACCTGAGAGCCAACAGTCTATCTAGTTTTACACACTCTTCGGTTACCACGAACGTGCTCCCACGTCAAAACCCGATGTGGGGTCCGCAGGGCCGTTGTGGGAACGGACCATAATTTAATCTTTTGCTTTTCAGGAGAGACAGGTTTGGGCAAGTCTACCCTCATGGACACCTTGTTCAACACGAAGTTTGAGGGGGAGCCGGCCACCCACACACAGCCGGGTGTCCAGCTCCGGTCCAACACCTACGACCTCCAAGAGAGCAACGTGGGGCTGAAGCTCACCATCGTTAGCACAGTGGGCTTTGGGGACCAGATCAACAAGGAGGACAGGTAAGGAAGGGGACGGGGTGTGGAGGCCGGTGGGAGGCTACAGGGAGGAGCCCACCTTGGGGACCTGCCTGGACCTCGTCCCAAAATGGCCGCGGACATGTACCAAGCACCGCCCCCCACCCCAGGTTTCCATTTCCACCAATCATTGTAGTCCATGCACTCTGCCAAAAGAAAGTTATCTTTCTGAGATACATGGATGAGGTCTCTATTCCATGTGGCAGACACGTACTGAGTCCTTCCTACCTTGTGCCCTGACAATCTAAAAAAGAATGACTTTGTCTCTGCCATTGAGGCACTCACAGGGAAGGCCAGTTTTGAACAAATAAGTTCCATCGAGTGTGATATGCTCTGGGAAGAAAAGGGTACAAAGAGGTAAAGGACAAGTAACAAGGAGTTCACGAAGGAGACAACAAAGGTCTGGGAGGCCTTCCCTCCTCATCTGAACCTTGAAGGATGAACTCTTGCCAGACAGACAAGGGAATGGGGGGAAGGGAAGTCCGGGCTGGGGGAATGCTTGTACAAAGGCAAAGTGTGGAAGACTATGGAATGCTCTAGAGATCTATGGCTTCCTCGGTTTAGCTAGCTCAGAGACAGATAGACTGTGGAGCTAATGAAGCTTAACCTTCATGGCCCTCATTTGCATAGGCCTTGCCAAGTTCCTGGAACTAATTTGTCGTCATAATGTTGTTTTGACTTTCTGGAGGGCCCTTCTAATTGCATAAGCTTAATGTCCCACAGTACCTGTGTCTGCCCCTGGGCTGGGGCTTGGCGTGAGCGAGGGAAAAGTCAGAGGAGATGAGCCTGAAGAGGGAAGCAGAGTCAGGTCATGGGGGAATTTCTAGAATGTGCAGACGTGGAGTCATTGAGAGGTTTTATGAAGTAGAATGAGATAGTCTTAGGGCGTCTGGGTGGCTCAGTCAGTTAAGCATCTGCCTTTGGCTCAGGTCATGATCCCAGGGTCCTGGGATGGAGTCACGAGGTGGGCTTCCTGCTCATCGGGGAGCTGCTTCTTCCTCTCCCTAGCCCCTGCTTGTGTGTGCTCTTTCTCTCTCTCAAATAAATAAATAAAATCTTAAAAAAAGAAGGAGATAGTTTGATTGGCCTTGAAGTAGGTTCTTTGGAAGGGTAGGGAGGGCAAGAAGACCAATTAGGAGACTATTGGACCAATTAGATGGAGGCCAGAGTTAACACAGGTGCTGAGATAGGAAAGAGGAGGCAGGTTTGGTAAATATGGAGTAGGTAGAATCAACAGAACTCGGCAAAGACTTGGTATGGGGTTGTGAAGGCAAGAGAAGGATCTAGAACGAAGCCCAGATTTCTGGCTTTGGAGAGTGGACAAATGGTGGCAGCATTCAGCAGGAGAATTAATTTTAGACCTGTTGAGGTTGAGCTGTCCGCGGCCTACTGAGACCCCCTGACGACCTTCTGCGGTAGGCAGCTGAATATGTAGGGGTTAGAGGTTGGCAGAGGGTCAGCCCTGGAAATATGGATTGGGATTGTCGAGGTAGAGGTGCTATGTTCCGACTGCAGACTCATGCAAGATCACCCAGGCATCAGAGTGGAGTGTGGTAAACACTGGGGTACAGACAAAAAGCTGAGGGTAAGTCAGCAGATGGAGCAAAGGACCCATTCTGGAAACAGACCGAGCAGGAATACGCAGAGAGGTGGGAGGAGAGACTGCGGGGCTGTGGGGGGGGGCGGCTCGTGTTAAGAGGGGGGGGGGGGGGGGGTGGGTGTGGGAAGGTTTAGACACCGGGATGTGTTGAGGGAGGGGGTCAGGTGCCATGTGCATTTCACTAGATGTCACATGGTTCGCGCACGGCCTGTCTCAGAAAAGGCCATTCATCATTCTGAGGGGTGTCTGTTCATCCTTTGAGGATTCTCTTGCTTCTTAGCCAAACTGGATCCCCAGTTCTCCTGTTTCTCCCTTGAAGTTCCAACAGTCGTACTCATGTCCCGATAATGAGTAAATATATTTAGCTTCTTAATAATTGAACTGAATTTGGTTTTTCATTGGGAATTCTAGACGGACATCTCTGCTTTTTATAGCTTTGCTTATTATGCTAATTTTGTTCGGGTGAGAATAAATCGGACCCTGGGCAAAGGGGATGGATATATGGGGTTATCTCAGCTGCAGATGGCTCGGGAACTTTTCAATTAAATTTCTCACGATTCTCGGCAACATGCATTTAACATATCTGACATTGGAAACAGCTTTGGTGATGACAGTTTGGGAGGACTGAGCTGATACGGCCCCTTAGAGGCTAATCTACTTCCATTACATTGGTAATGTCCTTATTGTTTTTCCTGATTATAAACATGATGCATACTAATACAAAATCAAATAATACAAACTCAAATAAGTAGAAATGAAAAGCCTCTCAGAAACTGGGCCGGAGAGCAGAGGTGGGGCAAGCTCCAGGGATTTGTAATAAAAAGCAGTGTTTTCTCCATACTGATGGGATCACTTGGGCATAGCTAAGTCAGTGCAGCCGCACTAAAGCAGAGAACCAGAATGCAATCCTTTACCCATGGTGCATGGTCTTCTAAGAAGAGCAGTGATTAAGGCCGTACCCTGGGGAAAACCACTGTTTAATAAAAGATGCAGAAGCATGGGACGCCTGGGTGGTTCAGTTGGGTAAACGTCTGTCTTCAGCTCAGGTCATGATCCCAGGGTCCTGGGATCATGCCAAGCATCTGGCTCCCTGCTCAGCGGGGAGTCTGTTTCTCCCTCTGCCCCCCCACCCCACGCCGGCTTGTGTGCTTGCTGGCACTCTAACTCACTCTCTCTGTCAAATAAATGGATACAATCTTTCAAAAACCAAAAAGATGCAGGAGCACAGGAACTCAAGAGGAAGATGGAGGACAAGCTAGAAAGAGGTGTGTTTAGGAACTTAGGTTTTGGTCCAGACTGACCTGGGTTCAAATCCCATCTTGCTACTGATGAGCGGTGTTGGTACAAGTGTTCTGTGCCGCTCTCGGCCTATTGATAGCTATTGTCCTGGCTGGTCCCACGCTTGTGGCTTCTTACGATTGCAAGACGGTCTCAGCAATAACCACCAGGGAACTTGGAGACCAGGAAAGTTTATTATTTGCAGGTCCTGGAAAGCACATGGCACAGCTGGGACCACACAGCGAGGTCGCAGGGTAGAGAAAGAGAAACCAGGTGTGGGTCTGGCGGTCTGCTCTTATTGAGATGGAGAGTTTAGGTCTAGGATTTGGTGGGCTTGCTCTAGATGGATGGATTTATTTATTTATTTATTTATTTATTTATTGGATTTTATTTATTCACTTGAGAGAGTGAGTGAGAGAGAGAGAGCACAAGCTGGGGGAGGTGTAGGGGTAAGGCAGAGGAAAAAGATGACTCCCCGCTGAGCAGGAAGCTGGACACAGGGCTCGATCTCAGGACCCTGGGATCATGACCTGAGCCAAAGGCAGACGAGAAACCTACCGAGCCACCCAGGCACCCCTAGATGGGCAAATTTAAAACATAAGAGAATTCTAAGCAGGAGAAGAGAAAAAACATGTGGCCCACATGGTATCTTATGGAAATCAACTACGATTTCTGAAACAAAGGAGCCCTGTGGCGGGTGGTGGCAGCGGAGGGAGGGCTGACTCTTTACCTGAAGGAGGCTGGCAGTGTGTTTATTCCAGATAGTCAGTTGTCTTTGAAGTGGATGCTTCTGCAATAAAACTTAAATCAGGCACTTGGCATGGCAGAAAAGAAAAGCCAACCCTCGGAGCTTACACCATAAGACACTTAAATTCTCTATGGCTCCTTTTTCCCACCTGTAGAGTGGGGATGACGATAATACTAGTATCTACCCTAGAGGGCTGTGGTGAGGCATACTTGATGTGTCTGGCATATGAAATGGTCCAGCAGTGCTGGGCACAGGGACGCTGGGTGGCTCAGTCCATTAAGTGCTTGCCTTCTGCTCAGGTCATGATCCTCAAGGTCCTGGGATTGAGCCCCACATCAGGTTCTCTGCTCAGTGGGGAGCCTGCTTCTCCCTTTCCCTCTGATCCTCCTCCCACTCGAGCTCTCTCTCTCTCTCTCTCTCTCTGTCTCAAATAAATAAATACCTAAAAAAAATAAAGCAGTGCCCGACACAGAGTAACTAGGGAACAGAAGATATTGTTATGATCATTACTTTTATTGGTAGAAGAATCGAGGGAAAGTTGTACCGTGTAGCGTAATGGGAGAGAATAACAAATGGAACTAAAAAATATCCATTGGCTTTGGCAATATGAAGGTCATTAATACACTAAGGAATAATAATTCCAGGGAAGTTGTGGGTGGAAGCTAAATGGCCATGAGTGAATGGAATATAAGTAAGTAAAGGCATCAGAGTAGCAAAAAGAGCAACAGGACAGAAAAGTGAGACTAAGATCAAATGCATGTTTACATGGGAATTTGGCATATGTAAGTCAGCAGGGAAAGAATGGACTATTCAAGAGAATGTGCTGGAAAAATAGGCCATCCATCAGGAAAAAATAAAATGAGACCATCCCACACAAACACTAGGCACAAAAATAGATTCCAGATGGATTAAAAACAAATTCTAAAAATATAAGGAGAAAATATAGAAGGTTTTTATAGCTTTAGGGATAGAGAAGGTTTTTCTAATTGTGGCACAAAATCCCAAAGCCATGTAAGAAATGACCGACACATTTAAACTTACTAAAATTAGAAAAAAAAAACCCTTTGCATACTGAAAGATGCTATAAACAAAAGACAAACTACAAACAGGGAGAAGATATTTGCAACCTATGTCACAGACAAATGATTCTTCTGAAGTGTGAAAAGAGCTTCTCCAGTTCAGTGAGAAATAAACAGGTAACTGACAGAAGGGGGGGTGGGGAGGTATACAAATTGACAACTAACCTACAAACCCAGACTCATCCCACAGTCACCAGTGTTTAGGGAAGAGCGAAATGAAACAAAGAAATATTTTTTATCCATCAGAGTTGCAAAAATAAGAGACAAAGAGACAATGGCT